GTTCCACCCAAACCGGCGTAGAACAGAGCCATTTAAGAGGAAGAGCCATCATCAAGAATCAAATGGGCATTAAGAAGAGAACGGATATCACGGCCCCAAATATTAGTATGAATATGTAGAATGTATGGTTGTAGGAAAAAGGACTTACCAGCAGATGTTGTAACATTAATTTCTTTAACATTCTGCCAAGCAGCTGTAGAACCTCCTATTCCCCACAATGAAGAAACTGTCGTTTTTGGCCACTGTACTGGCCACTGTAAAGAGGAGATGACAGTAACATTGGCTCCAGTATCCAATAACCCTTGAAATGGTTGTTTATTAAGGAAGAGCGTTAACAAAGGACGAGAGGAGTTCAGCTGATGAAGTAAGCCTACAGATAAAGAAGTTGATCCAAATCCTGCAGCCCCACGATTACCTATACCAGGAGATGGAATTTCATGTGGAAGAAGAAGCAATTGAGCAACAGAAGAATTACAAGGAAGAACTGAGGAAGGTGCACCCAAATCTGAATCATGAGGATACCAGTGTAATCTGAATCTATTACTCCAGGCACAACAAAACAGCCCTTTTTGTGTGCAGAAGAACGAGGCAAAATTAAGCCAACTAATCCCGAAGGAAGAGGACCTTTAAATTGAGATGGAACTATTTTAACTTCCATGGGAAATTTAAACTCACTTTCCTCTTGAGTGATTAAATCGATCCCAGTGCTACCGGCTGTGGCTGGGGAGGAGTGAGAGAGACTGCCAGAGGAGTCAGAGTGATGGGAAAGGCACGCTTTGGATTCTGGGTGGGTGCCACACCCATTGGCAAGTTTCCCGACCGAAACCGACATTGATTGGCCCAATGAAATCCCTTTTTCCAAATAGGGCACTTCTTAGAAGGACGATTCTGAGGCATAGAAGGTGTAGAACGACAGTCCTTCTGAAAGTGGCCAGGCTTCTTACACTTAAAACAGTTACCAATTGGTCGCTGTCCTTTCTGAATAGCAGCTGCTAACATATGCATTTTATAAGTTTGTGATCCAATATCCTGGCAGACTCACAGCATATCTGCCAGAGTGTAATGAGCAGTAGCCTTTAATGGCTGTAAAGCTCTTTTACAATCTGCATTAGCATTTTCAATAGCTAATTGGCGAAGTTCACCAGCAGCTTCCTGATGATCAAACTGCTGTCTAATTGCTTTGGACAGACGCTCAACAAAGTCAGCATAAGGCTCATTGGCATTCTGTCGAATGTTTGAAAAATTTGCTCTAGGTTCTCCAGCTTGGGGTACCTTAAGAAAAGCATGAAAGGCACATTCAGAAACAATAGTTAACGTAGCTGGAGGAAGAACAACTTGAGTAGGAATTGTACCAAATGGTCCAGAACCAAATAGCTGCTCAACTGTATATGCTCCTCCCCCTCCTAAAGCAGCAGCTTGAGCATGTCTCATATATTCACTCTCCCAAACCACATATTGCATGGATGTTAAAATCATGCGAAATATTTGCTTCCAATCTTCAGGGATCATTGTATAACCATTTTTTATTCCTTCTACAAGTCCTCTTGTAAAATTACCACTAATCCCATAGTCTGTAACTGCCTTTTTTTAACTCTCTTAAGATCTGATAAGGCAGACCCTCACATTCTGCTACTTGCAGTCCAAGCTGTGGCCCCTGACCAGGACGATATTGTACTGGACAAACAGACAGTAATTCTGCAAGTTCTGTTCCTGAGACAGAGGCATCCCTTTTACAAGTCTCTACCATTTTCTGAAAAGAAGACTGAACAATAGAATCAGGAGGCTTTTGCCCTGTATCTGCAGGAGCTGAGGGAATTGGAGACATATATTCAGGTGAAGAAGGGGGACAAATGACAGCATTAGTATAACGTGAAGGTGGAGGTGTTAAAAGAGAAAGTTCATTGTGACCAAATTTTTCAATTGCATGCCTACATAAATGCCACACATGCAAAACTTCTATTTTTGCTCGAGGTTCAGTATGCAATGTTTTCCCTATACATTCCCAATCAGTTAATTTTAAAGACCCCTTTTCTGGGTACCATAGGCACTGAGCTGCAATCTCCTGGACCAGCCTTAAGAAATTTTGCTGTGGTACCTCAGTATTATTTTTCTTCAACAAATAGCCTAATTCATCTACATGCTTCCTTTGTTCCTCAGAAAGCGAAGACCCCATACTTACAGAAACCAAAAGGTTGAAGAAACCACAAAGGGTTGAAGGTGCACCAAATCCTTGCCGGATGAAGTAAGAGGGTCCCTGTTCATGCGCCACTTGTTGTAATGACGAGGCAGTCGAGTTGTTTGATCATGAACAATTGAATCATGATGATCTTTATTGGAGTCTAGTCTTGCATTTATACACATTTTTAATTATCCTCCATCATTGGTTAACTTTGGTTACTGCTTAACTTTGGTTACTGTTTTGCACAGTAATCCATACAATTAATTATCTCTAGTTAAAGTCTAACATATGTTTACTTCCTCTCTCTAATCCTCCTTTAGATTAGTGACTTTGTTTACCTGAGTTGTATTTGCTTGGAAACATTCTTTATCTGAGGTTTGCCATCCGAGATTGGAACATTCCTGCAATTACAACTCTACAGTGCAGTATACACATCCTCGATTGAAGGTAGGTTGGTAGTAATTGTTTTTTCTGCAGTCTGTGTCTGTCCTGTTGGGTTTCAGTACCAAACCAGACAGTTATAGAGGTGCAGATGGCAGACTTAATAATTCCTCTGTAGAACTATATCAGCAGCTCCTTGGGCAGTTTGAGCTTTCTGAATTGGTGCAGAAAGAACATTCTTTGTTGTGCTTTTTTGATGACGTTTTTTATGTTAGGTGTCCACTTTAGGTCATTTGATATGATAGAACCTAGAAATTTGAAGGTCTCTACTGTTGATACTGTGTTGTCTAGTATTGTAAGAGGTGGTAGAATGAGACGGTTTCTTCTAAAGTCTACCACCATTTCTACAGTTTTGAGTGTGTTCGGTTCCAGATTGTTCCAGTTACACCACGAGGCAAGTTGTATAACCTCCTGTCTGTATGTGTATTTGTTGTTGTCTCGAATGAGACCAATCACTGTTGTGTCATCAGCAAACTTCAATATTTTAACAGGTGGATCGTCTGAGATGCAGTCATTGGTATAAAGGGAGAAATGAAGAAAGCACACAGCCTTGGGGGGGGAGGGGCTGTGCTAATTGTACAGGTATCAGATGTGATTCTGCCTAGCTTCACCTGATGGTTCCTGTCTGTTAGGAAGGTTATGATCTACTTACAAGTGTGTTCAGGTACCACTAGTTGGTTTAATTTAGTTAGAAGAATGTCTGGAATGATGGTATTGAATGCTGAACTAAAGTCTACAAAGAGGACCCTTGCATAGGTATTTGGAGATTCAAGGTGTTGTAGGGTGTAATGCAGAGCCATATTAACAGCATCATCTGTCAATCTATTTGCTTGGTATGCAAATTGCATAGGATCTAACAGTGGATCCATTATATTTTTCAAGTGGGAAAGCACTAGCCTTTCAAAGATTTTCATAACTACAGATGTTAGAGCAACTGGTCTGTAGTCATTCACTTCCTTGATGAAAGGCTTCTTTGGCACTGGGATGATAGTAGAGCGTTTGAAGCAAGAAGGAACATAGCACACCTCTAGTGATCTATTGAAGATTTGGGTGAAGGTGGGGGCTAATTGGTCAGCACAGACTTTTAAGCAAGGAGTTATCTTGTCTGGCCCTGGTGTTTTTCCTGGCTTTTGTCTGTGAAATAGATCTTGCACTTCTTTTTCTGTGATCACCAGAGGTTGTGAACCCAACTGGTTGGGTTGTAGGAGGCTGTTGTTGGTGTGTTTGAGATGGGGTTTGTGGATATAGGTGGCTGTAGTTTCCTTTCAAACTTGCAGTAAAACACATTCAGGTCATCTGCTAGTTGTTGATTTCCTTCTGCCTGGGAAAGAGGTTTGCTGTAACCAGTGCTGTTTTCCACATGTTTGCTGGTTTATTTGTTGAGAACTGATTCCCTAACTTTTCAGAGTAGCTTCTTTGTGCTGCTCTGATCTTTCTTGTTAATATGTTTCTGGCCTGATTGTATAGCATTCTGTCACTTTTTCTGTAGGCTTCCTCTTTGGAACAACCTAGCTGCTTAAGTTTAGCTATGAACCAAGGTTTATTGTTACTATATATTTGCAGGTTCCTTGTTGGTACACATAAGTCTTCGCAGAAGCTGACATGATGTTACAGTATCTGTGAGCTCATCTAGGTCTGCAGAGGTATCTTCAAAACCATTCCAATCAGTGCAATCAAGGCAAGCCTGGAGCTTCAGCTTTGCCTCATCAGACCAAGTACTCACTGATTTAATTATTGGTTTCATGATTTTAAGTCTTTGTCTGTAGGAAGGTACAAGGTGAATAATGCAGTGATCAGAGTGTCCCACAGCTGCTTGTGGTAAAGACCTATAAGCATTTTTTACTGTTGTATAGCAATGGTCTAAAGTATTTTTGCCTCTGGTGGGACAATTTACACGCTGGAAATATTTTGGGAGCTCTTTCCTTAGTAGTGCGTGTATGTACACCTGTGAGTATGTATGAAGGAGGGAGAAAGCAGGAATAATTAAATAAATATTGGAAATTGGAAATCATTCTGTATCTACTGTAATCAAAGCTTCTAAATATACTTTATGTCTGCCTTGAACTATAGTAGGTTGCCATTGACACTTCACTTTTATTTTATTTTTCACACTTCATTGATAAATTGCATTATGTCCTAGAAATGCTTGGAAGGAATTAAAAAACAACAATAATCTAATCCATTTTTCCTGGGTACAGTATAGTTTTACCCACACCACATCATGTGTTACAGTGCAATAAACAAGCATACTAAAAATGAAATAAATCCTCAAAATTACTGCCAGCATTAAGGTTGAAGTGGAATCCTCCCAGAACATCACAAATATGACAATGAATCCAAAGTGATTATATTTATAATGTCATTTTTATGAAGCAAATAATACTATATTGATGACATTATTTCTGCAATGTTTTCGTCATAGTTCATTTGGCTTAGACTATGGATGAGAGTCAGTTTTTGATCAGCCAAGGAATTGTTGCCACAAGGGGAGGAGTTGAAGCTGGCAAATAAAGAAGTATGCTCTACAAGACCACGAACTTAGAAACAGGGCTTGGAGAGTGCAAACTGAGTTGCAATGACCCCCTCACAGACTCACTTGATTTTGGAGAACTATATTGGCGGCCAGTTTGTGCCATGTTCCTCATATCTAGATTCTTATGACCCATCAATTGGTGAAGTATATTGCAAAGTACCCGATAGCGGCAGGGAAGAGGTGAGTTCCTATAGAAATTTATATTCAACTTTTTCATGGTTTTGTAAAGTTGTACAAAAAGATTGCATGAGGTGTTTGTAATAATTGTGAACATAAATTGTCCTGAAATATTGACTAGTTTTAACGTTATATTGAATTATATTTTTTTGCCTATGGGAGATGGTAAGGCTGTATTTCAGCATAATACAGTGTCGTATCAGCGGCTATAGCCCTAGATCAGCAGCTCAAAGTTCAATGCCATTTCCTTTGAAATATATCTCTTATGTGGCAGAGTGGGAATTGTGTCAAACTTCAAGGCAAAATGAAAAGAAAAAAATATTCATAGCTTTCCTTATTGGCTGCTTAATTCCTTCAAGAGGCCCAATCAAAATAATAATTTTATGATCTAATGACTGAGGTTGGAAATAAAATACTATCTACACTTTTACAACTTTAACTTTGACCTTTAGCATTCAATTCCAGTCAATCAAATGTTAAGTATAGAAAAATAGTGGTTGAAGTATAACTAGCATTTCCCCCCTAAACTTACACTGTAGAGCTTTGTCCTCTTATAACTTATTTTCTTATGCAAACAGAAAATGGATTGTATATTAGATACATAGAAAAAATCGTTTAAAGAATAATCTTGATTACTCATTTAATATTGTAGTCAGCAGGACAAGAAAGCGGGCAATTTGATTTTAGGCTTCTTGGGGTATCCGATACATTTCACCTCAGCACTGTATTTAAACTTTGAATCAAATATCAAAGGCAAGATCAGGACAAAGAAAGCAAGACCAGGTCAAGCATAAAATTTGAATTAATTGGAATCCAGTCAAATAATGAATTAAATTGATGTATTATAATTAAATTCATGGTATTGTAAGATAGGGAGGGAGGGAGAGATCAGCTTTGGGAAAGGGCATGTGCTAGGCATGAATGCAAGCAGGTGTAGCACATGGAATGCTTACCATAACCTGCACAGAGAATTTCAGTTACTGATTAGTTTAAAAATGCAAGTCTGTAATATGGCCTCACTTAAAATGAAAGACATTGTGACAATTCTGCAGAATTCTGTAGGAGCAATAGCTCAACAGTGCTGCCTAGTGGCTGTAGTACTGAATGTTAAATTGGAAAGTAAGCAAGTAAAAAATACCAAACGAGAACAAACATTCCCCTTTGGATAATAAAAAAACACAAATACATGTATCTATATGAGTCTATATCTCATTTGGTATGCCTTACCTTCTAATTCAAATACAATTGGCATAACCTGAACAGAGCTGTTCAGTTTCTACCTTTAACAGTCATACATTTAGATCAGTGATGGCAAACCTATGACTTATGTCAAAGGTGACGACGGATCACCACACTTTGGCTGACACACCAGTGTTAACCAACACCCAACAACTATTCTTGACAGCATACCCCACTATCAGTTTTGGAGATTGTGGAGGCCACATGGAATGGGGTGTCTCTCATGGCCTCCTGATCCTCTGAAAGTTATGTGAGAGAGCTATGCTTTTGTGTGGCCTTTAGAGTCTCCAAAAATCATGTGAAAACAGGCCATTCTTTAGTGTGGTTTTTGGAGGCTTCTGAGGCTACGGAAGAGCATTCTCCAAAGCTGCTTCAAGACTAAAGGCCTTATGTGGCCTGGAGCAACCTCAGGTAGGTGATAGGGACCTGTCAACAAAAAGGAAGCACTGCCTGAAGGTAAGGAATGCACGGTGGCACTGGGCTGTGGAGGTAATCACGCCTTGGGGAACAGAGCGACAGCTTTGTTGAATGGCAGCAGCGGCACTAGGTCTAAAGTTGAAGCGGAGGCCTTTAGGCTCAGCCATCGTACTGTCACTGAGCGTTGCTGTTCAGTGTGTCTTAAATGGGGGGTGGGGGGAGATAGAGAATTGTTTCTCTTGTTTGGAGAGGAGTGGGCAATGCCATTAGGGTCCACTTAGGTATTTTCCAAATTTTTTACATGCCAAGCCCAAAAAGTTCACCATCACTGGTCTAGATCAAGCTTGCCCAGGAGATGGACATTATTGTGTACTGCAATTGATCAGAATGACAAAAATTCTCTCAGCTTATTAATAAGGATTGTTACTGATTTTTACCTAACCCAGGATGACATAGCAGTGAATCTGTTCTCTAAGAAAGCGGCGTTTGTTTTCTGCTTTCTCTTCATTTCTGTTAACATCTAGCATCAAACAGGCTTTTGCTCATGCAAACATGTGTTTACCGATTACATTTTTAAGGTGGAAGCTGCTGTCAAAGCTGCCCAAAATGCTTTCCCAGGATGGTCTGCGAAAAGTCCACAGGAAAGGTCAAAAATAATGAGCAAGCTAGCAGACCTTATTGAGGAAAACCTGGAGTCATTTGCGCAAGCAGAATCAAAAGATCAAGGTAAAGGAGAAAACCTGTTGACTTCTGCTCCTAGTGATAGCTGGTTAAGAACATAATAGCAGCTCTCAGCACCAATATCTAATAGGATCAAGAATCCATTAAACTGAGGCACACCCCAAATTAAATCCATATTTAGTTTTAAGACAAAGGCAATGCTTTAAGAAATTAAGGATATATTTCTTGATAGTGACATAAACCCAACCCCCAGTGTTGTCTATAAAGTTACAGCCATTTTGTTCAATTGTTTTTTTCTGTAAGAATATAACCAAAATTCTTAACTGGCTTTGTAAATAAGACGGAAATTGGTTTTGCTTTTATTTTTAAATGTGAATGTGAGAAAAAGTCAAATTCCAGTTGGTCTATTCAAACAAGGAATAGGCTAGTTGATTGTGTTGTTCATTTAGGGTAAATGAAAATTAGATGCAGTTCAAATCTAGGTAGTCACATGTTACCCATCCCAGATTTACAAAGAACTCTTTAAGATATGTGACCATTTAGATCTGTTGGATTCCATCTAGTTTCCATTGACCCTAGATGAATTACACAAGCAACTTGCCTATTCCTTGTCTGAATGGACAAACTGGAATTTCGCTCTTTCTCACATTCACATTTAAAGATAAAAACAAAACTACTTTCCTTTTTTATTGATTTATCTGGATTTGAATCATTGTGTCTTTAGCTATGTATTCGGGTGCTGAATTACAATTGTCATTTATTTTTGATGAGCTCCTTATATTTAATGTAACTGCAGACAGATACAACATGCTGGGAATAATAAAAATTTCTGCATAGACAAAGGTTATTTTAGGGATGGATCTCCTTGTCTGTATTGATGCAAAATTTTTGTTTGTCTTCTATGTGATAGCAGAGAAACTTAAAATCTAAAGATATATTCTCATGGTCAGAGAGACTTACATGGATTTGCCCATAATACTTTAATATCCTCTTGCTTTTCTTATGTTTTTGAAGTTTTACCTTTGAACATTTAGATTGTCTTCACCCCTCCTTAACAACTAGACAACTTTCATTCTTTGCTTAAAAACAGTTCTTACAAAAACTATTTAGAACCTGAAACCTGTTGAAGCGATTTCAAAAACATTGCAGCAACATCAGCAAGTGGTATAAAACTATTTGGTAAATATCCTTCTGTTCCAGGAAAAACCATTTCTTTTGCCAGAACAGTGGACATACCCCGAGCAGTATACAATTTTCGCTTTTTTTCATCATCTTTCCTTCATAAGACAACAGAATGCACACAGATGGATCACATGGGCTGCATTCACTATACAGAAAGGTCACCAGTAGGAATTGGTAAGTCTTTGTCAAAGAGGTGCAGGTGGTTTTTCAAAAAAAGAAAAATAATCTTTTTAGGACTAGGATAAAGTTAGTAAATTTAGCTTGAGCCTTATTTTATATACAATTGTTGGGATTAGAATTTTTTTTCTTGTTGCTTTGAACTATATAGCAGAGATACTCAGTTGCATTTGGCCCACAAAATACAGATATCATTGCTACCAAAGTATTATTTTTACTATGATAAAAGGGGGAAAATATTAAATATATCATTGGTGCATAATCTTATTATCTTAAATGAATGAAATGAAATTAGGTTTCGTTCTAGCTTTATATACTAGTTTGAGGAATGTAGTCCTTGGCATGCCATTGAAAGGCTTATGTAATCTGTAGTGAGGACCTCATGTGATTGCAATTCCACTTTCCTGCTGGCTTCCCCACTGACTTTGCTTGTGGGAAGCCAGCAGGGAATATGGAAAATTGCAATCATGTGACAGCATCTTGTTCCAATGTTGTAATCATGAGCCAGGTGCCCAAGCATCCAGGTCATGATTATTTTATTGTATTTTATTTATTTATTTGATTTGTCAATCACTTACAAGACAATAGGTATAAGTATAAACATGAGTAAGAATACAGGAAATAGGTACGAATAAATGGGGACAATAGGACAGGGATGGTAGGCATGATGGTGCACTTATGCACGCCCCTTACAGACCTCTTAGGAATGGGATGAGGTCAATAGTAGATAGTTTGAGGTTAAAGGAGTGGGGGTTAGAGGATGTAACAACAGAGTAAAGTAGTGCATTCCAGGCATTGACCACTCTGTTGCTGAAGTTGTACTTTCTGCAATCAAGTTTGGAGCGGTTAAGATTGAGTTTGTATCTGTTGTATGCTCTTGTATTGTTGCGGTTGAAGCTGAAGTACTCATTTACTTGTAGAACATTGTAGCAGATAATTTTGTGTACTATGCTTAAGTCCAACCATAGGCAGCATAGTTCAAGGTTGTCCAAGCCCAAAATCTCAAGCCTGGTGATATAGGGTATTCTGTTGCAAGCAGAGGAGTGTAGTACTCTTCTCGTGAAATACTTCTGGACTTGCTCAATTGTATTACCCTGTTTCTCCAACAATATGGCCTCCCCCAATAGGAAGTCCCAGCATGTTTTATAGGCATGAAATATGAGTAAGCCCCTCCCCCAAATTAAGGCCTATATTAAAACATGCGAAATGGGGGGGAATGGTTGCCGTTAGGAAGTACTTTTGTTGCACACCTGGATATGGTGCTGCCTGCGTTGACCCCGATGAGAAGTGCCCCACCAACACCGAGGTCAACATCCAAGCCGTCGCCGCCCGCCCGCCTGAAGATGCAAGGGGGGAAATTAAGTCACCCCCGAAAAGACGGCCTAGCCATTTTTTCAGGGCTCAAAAAAAAATAAGACCCGGCCTTATTATATGAGAAACACGGTAGTCCCATATACAGTGCAGATTCCAGACTGATGAGCTGTATTCAAGTATTGGTCTAGCAAAAGTTTTGTATGCTCTAATTAGCCATTCAATATTTCCGGAGGAGAAGCTCCGTAAGATTAGATTTACAACTCTTAATGCCTTTTTGGCAATGCTGTTACAGTGAGCTTTGGCGCTTAGGTCATTTGATATGAGTACACCAAGGTCATTGACAGAGTGAGGAATGTCAACAAGGTAATATCCGCATAGTATGTATTTGGTGTACTAATTTTTTTTACCAATGTGTAGGACAGAGCATTTGTTGGTCGAGATTTGGAGTTGCCAATTGTTTGACCATTCAGACACATAATCAAGGTCGCTTTGAAGGACAGTAGCATTGTCGGTGGTGTTGAATAGTTTTACGTCATCCGCGAAGAGGATGCAGTTGCTTATAAGGTGATCGCAAAGGTCATTTATATAGAGTATAAAGAGTGTGGGTCCTAGAACGCTGCCTTGGGGGATACTGCTGTTAACTGGAGCAAGATTTGATATAGCGCTCCCTATATTTACTATTTGTTGCCTGTTTGACAGGAACGCAGTAATCCACTTATGAAGGGATCCGGAAATGCTGTAAGAGTTTAGTTTTAACAGTAGTTTGTCATGTACCACTGAATCAAAGGCTTTGCAGAAGTCTGTGTGAATTGCATCTATAGCTTTACTCTGGTCAAGTAGAGTAGTCCATGTGTTTTTGCAGTGTAGCAGTTGAAGATTGCAGGACATTTTTTTCCCTAAAACCAAATTGTTTTTTGGAGAGTAGGTTGTTTTGACTCTAAGTGGAAGGTGATGAATTGGTTAATGATTGATTCCATGACTTTGCACATGACACAACACAGTGAGATTGGTCTGTAGTTTTCAACCTGGCTGGGGTCACCTTTTTTGAAGATAGGGATAACCGTAGCTAAGGACCATAGGTTCAGTAAAGAGCTGGTTCTGAATGATATCTCATATATAATGCTTAGGGGTTCTGCTATGGCAGAGGAGAGCTTTTTTAAGAAGTATGCACATAATGCATCAGGGCCAATAGGGATGGTTTTAAGTTACGTAATGCCTTTTCTACGTTACCTTCTGTAAAGTCGATATGTAGGAGATCATTAAAGTTAGTTGTGGTACGACTAGGAAATGTGGGGCATGAGCCATTGCTTCTTTACAAAGACTGAACTGAAGAATGTGTTGAAGATGTTGGCCTTCATGGTTTCATCATTGCAGTCTTTCCCATTTGGTCCTTTTAGGAGTGGGGTAGTTTTTGAGTCTTTAAGTTTGGTGTTTACAAAATTGTAGAAGGCGCGGGTGGATTTTGTATGTAGGAGGTTTTCCTCCTGCTTGCAGTAATAATTTGTGCATTCTGCCTTTATCTGTTGACATATGGTGTTGTATTGTTTTTAAAGCCTGCTACGTAGCTAGTTTTGTTTTTACGCCATAGTGGGTTTTTTGATTGAAGTTTCCTTATTGTTATTATTGTTATAATAATTGTTATTATTATGTGACTGTAGAGATGCTGCAATGGCCAGAACTCCAAGGAACTGTTGTAAATCCCTTGTCCAACATGGTCTAACTTTGAATGATCATTGACTAATGGTCATAACCCTAGACTACCTGTAGTTTAAGTGGTTCTGAGCTGCACGTATCCAGATGACCACTAGATGTCATCACTCACTTTTCAGTTTCTTTTTTTCCTGCAGTTTAGTGATCTTCTGGACTTTTATAGCTCAAATCTGGTAGTTCTCTTCTACTATAAAGCACAGCTTGAAAATTTCCATGCCTTTCTCTAACATAGGCAAGTCCATTATAATTAGCTCACTCATTGGAATATAATTAATTGGCAAGGTGCTAATTCTTTTAATAATGAGCCAAACCTGGTATTGGGGGATAGCCTGCTTTGTTCTGTTAGTTATTATTCAACATTTCCAATTACCCATTTCCTTTGTGGACAGTTTGGTACATAGAATGGGTGCTAAAGCAAGAAAATTCTGCAGCTTATATAGAGCTGTCATGCTCTGTTATCTAACTGGATATCAAAAGAAGGCCATAGATTTCCTATGTATCAAACTTCTTGTTTAAACAGATTTGTTTCTTTTTCCTATCTTTTTGAAAGCTGGATTAATTAGTCCTTGGAATTTGCCACTTTATTTACTGACCTGGAAAATTGCCCCTGCAGTCATGTGTGGAAATACTGTAATTGCCAAACCGAGTGAAATGACATCTGTCACAGCCTGGATGATGTGCAAACTTCTGAATAAAGCAGGTATGCCAGAAAAGTAGCTCCAGTGAAATAATTAAAGCACTACAATATTAGTGATTCAGGATACAAGTAGGTAACACTTTGATTTTCCAAAAAGCCTATATATCAAATATGTGATCAATGTAATATTCCATTCATAGCATGATTTAGAACCTGATTGTAATGAAATATGACAATACATTGAAAAGATATCATATAACAGGCAAGGAAGCTCCATCATATATAACCCTTGTATACTCAGTCTAAAAATAGTTAGGAACATAGTCATCATTTTCTTCTTTTAATGATACGATAATCCCTCGCAGGGTGGAGTCTGGGCAACAGAATGGAGCTAGCAGTGTGTTGTAATGGCCGGATGCCCTTCCTGTCCCCAGTGCAGAGTTTTGTTCAGCAGATATATTCACAGTGTGCCTAAAGAGAGAAACTTCTCCCTCTACCTAGGATTGAACTCCCAGCCTCCTGATTATGAGGTGAGAGTTCCACCTCTAGGCCACTGCATCACTCTAGTTAGGATCCTAGTATTGTATTAAAATATATATGTTTCTGAGTTGCCACTTAAATGGAATGTACTACATAAGCATAGCGTTTGGTCTGTTTATGTGATTTTCCTCCTCTGCTGCCTACGAGGTTTTCCTCCGGGTGTGATAAACGTCGTGTTCGGAAGTGGCCCCAAAGCTGGAGATGCTCTTGTTTCCCATCCGGTGGTATCTCTGATTTCCTTCACTGGGAGTACACTCACTGGCCAGCAAATCATCCAAAGGTCTGCTTTGTACTGTAAGAAGCTTTCCTTGGAGCTAGGAGGCAAAAACCCAGCTATCATTTTTGAGGATGCCAACTTGGATCAATGCATTCCAGCCACTGTAAAATCCAGTTTTGCTAACCAGGTATAAACAGATAGTCGCTTGCTCATCCCTCCGCTTACGCAAGCTATGCTTCTGAAGTTTGAGAAGCCCGGGGAACTCATGACAGATTTTAATATAAAGATCGAGTGTATTATTCTGATTCAGATGATTCATTGTTTACTTATTGGAATTGGGCAACTAATAAATTCCAATAAATGAGGATGGCATTTTAAAAGAAAAAAAACCCTGACTTAACGTGGCATCTTCTCTCAGTGAATGTTGTTTATTTATTTAGCATGTGACAAGTGAATGTTGTGATAATCCTTTATAATGATGGATGAGTGAGCTCCATTTTCCTATCAGAATTTGTTTTGGAATAACTCTTTCTGGTTCATATCCTCACTGTTTGCCACTCCAAAGAGTCTCCCTGCTACTGTTCTATACAGGAAACCCCAAAAGATTCAGCATATCAGGTCCAGTATAAGAGAATTCACTCACTTACTTTCCTTGTATGGGTTGCCCGTGTCTTTTGTTACTGTGTCTTGGGACTCCTCATATCCTGGACTGGGTACTAGGAGGGGAAGACAGCTAGTTTTTCTGTAGCCTGTCCACTCTTCCTTGGAAATACCAAGATAAAATATGATTTCTCCTCTTGCCTGTTGGGTATGAAAGAAGTAGTCTTAGAAGGAATAAAACGTCCTACTCAACAGTAGTTCCTCTCCACCCAAATGCTCCTTGTTATTTGGTAAAGATGGATAGGGATGCGAACAACAAACTATATAAGAGTTTGTTTGGCATAATTGTAAGTCTAAAGGGTTATCAATGTACTGCTCTTACTGAAATCTAAAAAACAAATTCTTCCTTTGGTGAACTAAACAGAGTTTCTGATAATAATATATCTTGTAAAGCAGGGGTCCCCAACCACCGGTCCGTGGACCAGTACCGGTCCGCGGAACAACTCCTACCGGGCCGCTGGCTTGCTGGGCGCCGCCATCTTTTTTTCATGAAAAAGTGCTTCCGGTGAGCTTTTCCGGGTAGAAAGCTCACCGGAAGCACGTTTTCATAAAAAAAAGATGGCGGCGCCCAGCTGATGCCGGTACCGGGCCGCGGCGCCCAGCTGATGCCGGTACCACGCCGCGGCGTCAAAAAGGTTGGGGATCACTGTTGTAAAGAACTTAAAAAACTATGCTTCAGTGAAATAATGACTCCTTATTGAATTTCTCTCTTTTCTATACATTTTTTCAATCTTGCCAGGGTGAAATATGCTTATGTACCAGCAGAATCTTTGTTCAGAAGAGTATTTCTAAAGAATTTTTGAAAAGGTTTGTGGAAGCTGTTAGAAAATGGAAAGTTGGAAATCCTTCAGATCCCACAACTGATATGGGAGCATTGATAAGTAAAGATCATTTAGCAAAGGTAAACAATGTTGAAAATATTTTTAAATTTACTAAATTAGCTGCAAATATGCTTTCTTCCTCATTTGAGAAAGCATCACAATATATGATGATAGAGATTTTCTTATATCTTGGTAATGATTTTTAGACAAAGAACATATCTTGTTTTAAACACTTGTTAAAACACTTGCTTTAAGTTGTTTCAGGCTCAGGGTATTTCCTAAAGCTTCCCCATCAAAATTGTTTAACCATTAAGTATTTTTGCCAGTTGTCAAGTTTCTTTATTTTTTTATTGTGCGCACTTAATAAGTAACAATATGACTAGCTAAAACATCTCCTTAGTGATGTCAGATTCACTGTTGGGTGCACACAGTTGGAAACAATCTGATATTTCCTCTTACCAACTCATTTCTCAAATATATTGTCAGCAAAATTGAAGAAGACATTTCAGATTCTTCTTCCCTAGTTTCAAATGTGTCTTAAGATTTTTCTATCTTTCTGAATATAATACAGTATTTAAATAACAATGGTACAACAATCACACAATATTCCAATGATAAAACTGCATTGATATTTTCCTGGTATAAGATGGAATGTGTGTTTAAATAAATGAATTAAAGTAAACCAACCTTTAAATGATGAATGTTATTTAAAATAGCATGTAAAACCCAAGAGCTTAACTAATTCATATATTGATATAAGTTTCATATAGTAAATATGTAGGTGTGAGAGAGTATATTCATATATTTTATTTTATTTATTTGATTTGTCAATTGCTTACAAGATAATAGATATAAGTATAAACATGAGTAAGAATACAGGAAATACGAATAAATGGGGACAATAGGACAGGGATGGTAGGTATGATGGTGCACTTATGCACGCCCCTTACAGACCTCTTAGGAATGGGATGAGGTCAATAGTGGTTAATTTGAGGTTAAAGGAGTGGGGGTTAGAGGATGTAACAACAGAGTCAGGTAGTGCATTCCAGGCATTGACCGCTCTGTTGCTGAAGTTGTACTTTCTGCAATCCAGTTTGAAGCGGTTTACATTGAGTTTGTATCTGTTGTGTGCTCTTGTATTGTTGTGGTTGAAGCCGAAGTAATCATTGACTGGTAGGACATTGTAGCAGATAATTTTGTGTGCTACACTTAAGTCTAACCGTAGGCGGCATGGTTCAAGATTGTCCAAACCCAAAATCTCAAGCCTGATGATATAGGGTATATATATTGGTCTTTCATTTCCTCATTGTTATTAACAATTAGAAATTACTGTTGTCTTTAAATATGCTTCTTGTTTTGTTGTTTTGCTCCTATTAGGTAAAGAAATATATCCAGCAGGCTCGGGCAGAAGGGGCCAAGATCCTTTGTGGAGAGGGAATAGACTCATTGGATCTTCCTCCAAGAAACCAAAAAGGCTATTTCTTGCCTCCCACAGTTATCACAGAAATTGATGATGATTCTTGCTGCATTCAGGATGAGATCTTTGGTCCGGTAGCTTGTGTAATGGTGTTTGACACAGAAGAGGAAGTGATTAGGAGAGCCAATGGAGTCAAATATGGCCTGGCAGCCACGGTCTGGTCAAACAATGTGGGCCGGATTCACCGTGTTGCTAAAAGTCTCCAGTCTGGATTGGTGTGGACCAATTGTTGGCTTATCAGAGATCTGAATTTGCCCTTTGGGGGAATGAAAGCCTCTGGGATAGGTAGAGAGGGAGCTAAGGATTCGTATGAATTTTTCACTGAGGTGAAAACAGTTACCATAAAATATACTGATGTGAACTGATAGGAAGTAATTCATGCCATAAGTCTGTGTGTGTTGCTTTGTCTCTCTTGATATATTGAGAAAAATGACAGTCATGGTTTATACCTGTATGTCTGCTAAGTGTACTAGAGAAAGGGTCATATGAAAATAATTATATGAGACTTTACAGCTGGAAAATATATGGTAGTCTGTCATTAGCTTTGTTCTAAGTTCAAAAGAGCAGATGAGTTTTATCTGGCTTAGCATGCTGTTTCCACAACAACCAACTAGATGCTGATGGGAACTTAAGCAAGACATCCCCCTTCTCACTTGTATTCTTCAATGACTGCTTTGAGAACCATGCTGTCTTTGAAAATAAAGCTAAAATATGGTGCCATAAACAGAATTGTTCACCATGTTTAAATTCAGTGGTGGGATTCAAATTTTTTTACTACCTTCTGTGGTGTGGCTTGGTGGGAGTGGCATGGCTTGGTGGGCATGGTGTGGCTTGGTGGGCGTGGCAGGGGAAGGATAGTACAAAATCCCATTCCCTCCCTACCACACTAACCTGCTTTCCAGCTCCGTTCTCTTGTACAGGGTGACAAAAGAAGACTCAGCCGATTAGCTGGGACTCGAGAAGCAGAGAATAGATGGGGGCGGAGCCAACCAGAGGTGGTATTTGCTTGTTCCCCGAACTATTCAAAATTTCCTTTACTGGTTCCCCAGAACTGGTCAGAACCTGCTGAGCACCACCTCTGCTTAAACTGAATATTCGTCTTCACTGCATAATTCAAACTATACTATCCAGGTTTCCCCAGTATCTGTCCTATCTTATTTAACTTGGATAATTTTAGTAGACCTTTCCAGAGTCTGTTCTAGAGTCATAGAAGATGATCACATGATCCCTGGGACACCACAACCATCATAAATATGAATCAGTTGCCAAGTATCCAAATTTTAATCACGTGACCGCGGGGATGCTGCAATGATTATGAGTGTGCAAAACTGTCATAAGTCCCTTTTTTTCAATGCTGTTGTAACTGTGAACGGTCACTAAACAAACTATTGTAAACTGAGAACAGACTGCATAACATTTTCTACAGCAGCCACCCACAGGAATGAAATGAAATTTTCACAGGGCTGTCTTGTACAGTCTTGAGATCTCTCTTCTAACCTGTAAGGAAGAACCCTTTTTAGGGCCATTTGTAGGGAGGATAAGGAATGAGTGAAGAAAGAGGGAATGGAAGCATGAAATAGAAAAGAGCCATAATGAATATAGTGTCAATTGAACATGCCCTCTACATCCATTAGGAGCAGCAAAATGCATTAATGACATATGCACAGGCACACATAGATTGGGTTAAAGCAACCTTCTGTTTTGAGAAGATAAAAGTAAATTTGCTTTAGGGTTGGGGAAACCCTACAACTTCATCATGGAGGGTAAAGAGATTCATTACAACAGACCTACTTATGAGATGCAGTTTAATAATTGCAAAAATCTAGAATTTTTAACAGCTTTTTCAACAACTGTCTTATCCAACAAAATTGCATAACCATCACGAGGTTTAATATTTTTATGTCAAGCTGATGAGTCAATTCATCTCTTAATTCCTACAGATGGAAATTAATGCCAGTCTGATTATTCAGTTATTGCCAGTTGATTCCCAGTGTCCTGATTCTTGACATGTATACATTCATACAAAGATTTCAACTCAATGTATCTAGGTCTTTGCTCAAAACAATGCCAGTATTTTTAATACTCATGTTTTGGTTTAAATTCGTTGTTTTCAGAAGTGAAATTGATTTAAACAAGAGAATCTTTAAATGAAATATATGGGAAGCTGGTGAAGTTGAGCAATTACATCCAGTAAATTATTGGTATGCACATGAGGAGAAATTAAAAGAACTGAATTTCCTACAAAATTCCTACAGACTAAGGGACTGCATTTTAATACAAACTAATATATACTTCCTGAGGTAAGACATGAATTAGAACTGACATTGCCAATTGCATATTTTGAAATGTTTACACATAATTCATATACTGAGTAAACTGGTTGCCCAATACTATATTATTTGAACTAATAAACATAACTTTTAAAAAAAATTATAGAAGGCAAAATGGATATGTTATCTATATTTCAAACTAGGATCATCCAGTCTGGATCCATCCTGGGAATGGAAGTTTCTCTTTTCATAGCATCATAGGGTTGGATGGACTTCCAAAGATCATTTACCACATCTAGAGATAACTAAGAGTCACTTTATGGTGAGATGGGGTGGGGGGGCAAACAAATTTAATATTATTAATAAAAAAACTATTCATAAGAGTACGTGGGGTGCAAAAAAAGATCTAGACCGCTAGAGGGCACCTATTTCTATTTCCTGCCATCCAGTGACTGAAGAGTTTTGCGAGATATGATTCAGTTTTCCCTCAATTTTCCTGACAGAGTGCTAGCTAGGTTCTACTTAATTCTCTCTAAATTTGTCTCATCAATGATAATGCAGAAAGAATGATCTTACACTATATATTTGTGACTTAGTTTTCTGTCAGGAACTGAAAGCAATAACCAACTTAAATGCTGTAGTAAACTGAGAGATAGTGACTGACCCAAAATTATTCTGGGAGCTTCATGGCTGAGGAAAGAACTGAACCTGGATTTCCCACTGTTGCAGTCCAACACTCCATAACACCTCACTGGCTCCCTCACAAATCTCCAATGGAAGTGGACTTGGGGCCTTCCTACACTGACTTCTTAATCTGCCCTCATTGAACTTCAAGCTGACTGGACACAAGGGACAGGCTTATACAGGGATAATCAGAAAGCTAAGTCCTGGTTATCCCTGAAGTGGCTGGATGCTTTCTGAATTCATACGGTATTTTCTGAGATTTTGTATTACCAGCTAATATGGAATGTGCAGGATGAAAGCCAAAGCAGGAGGACAATAAAAGAGGTACCAGGATAAAACCAGCATCATGTTTATTTATGTCCTCATTAAATACTTACAGCATCAGGGGCTCTTCTTCCACTCTGGTCTCCAGAATGCAACTCACAAAACGATTGCTTTAACTGGATACATTTTGTAGCCCTGCAGCTTCTTTCCTTCTTCACTCCCAGAGTTGTTCAGTTTGGGCATCAGCAAAAGGTTAAATATTTATGAGGATTAAGTATGTAACAGCACTGGGTGCCTGCTACCACAAACAGGGAAAAATGTTCTGATTGGGATTAAAGTTGGAAGTTTGTTATCTCACATCTTACAAGGGTAAATAGAAAGAGCTAGCTTATCTAAACAGCCACTCTTCCAGGAGTTAATTTAATAATGAGGTCAATCACAGAATATATACTATTTGACCAAAAGAAATGCAACTACAATCACAATCTTCTGCTCATTCCCATCTGTTTAGTAGTGATGACTTTTGTGTTACATACCTCTCTGGACGCACTTCTGCTTTAGTTTTACTTTGGGAGAGGAGAAAGAAAAATTATCTGCCCTAAGTAAGTTGGCAAGCAATTTAGGGTGTCAATGAAATTGTATTGGGTGTTAAATATTATGTAATTGCAATTGTGCAGTTGGAACTTGATTTCATTCCAGTTTCCTATTTTCCTCACCTTTGGAGACAACTAAACGTAGTCTTCAAAACTGAAAACAAAATGCATCGTTTAGCCCATCTAATTAATACAATTATTTCTCTTTATAGTTGAACTTTTCTTTAGAGGGAGGTTTTAGTCAACTATATAGAGTTGACTAAATGTACTATATGGAGACATTGATAAATTAATTTCATTGGAAATGTCACATCTCTATTACTGGCTATCCAGGTAGGATTGGGGGTGGGTGGAGATTCTTTCATGGAGAATGTTGATCTAAAGTTGTGATATCACCTAGCCAAGGGTTGGGGATTGCAGAGTTTTCTGATCATGTGTCCTTTGTGTGATTTTTTTTAAAAAAATCATTGGAGATTGTTCCTTACAGAGAAGGTTGCTATTTTAATTATTGTTTTATTCTTTTGATCTTGCTTTTTTGATTTGCGAGTTGTTTTGCAGTAACGTTATCAGTCCAGGACAATAAGTTATCTTCCTTTTTATTTATGTTGTCAGGAGAAGCTGTCTCATCTTGTGCCCTCTCTGGCCCCTCTTTCCCAGAACAGTCTCACCGAGCTAAACATCAATTGTGTTTTTGTGGCAGCTGTCAGATAAGAAGAGCTGCACCCTTTCCTGAGGATGTGTCCCCTTTCCCTCCTGTCATTCCCACTCTAGAAAGACCAGTTCAGGTTCATGGTCTCGCTGAGGCATTTGGAAAAATAAAGACCTTCCCTGCTTTATTTTTATTGCCCTTTTTAATAAATCCTATGAGCCTGAGCAATTGTTCTTAAAATAAAAGAACCTTCCAATTGTCCGTGAACGCTATCATTCCAGTGGAAATGATGTGTGAGGTTTTTTTTTTTTTTTAAACGGTCTTGGCTCTTGGCAGCCTTTTCCTCCTAACTTGTGTTACGCTCCACTGAACTGCAGTTGCCAGGAAAAAGTGATCTGAGATGGGGTGGAGAGTGAAATCAGCCGTGTGATATAATGAGAAAGGAAATACAGTTCAAATGATGGACATTTATGGGAATGATTCACAATTAGTGCTGAAGACATTTTGGAACCAGGTATGTGTCCCTTGAAAATGTTGTTAAGGCCGTTGTTTTAAAGTGAATTTGTTTTGGGGGAAAGTACAGGTAGTCCTCGACTTATGACTACCTATTGAGCCCAACATTGCTGTTGCTAAGTAAGACAATTGTTAAGTGAGTTTTACTCACCTTTTTTGGCAGAACTGTTTTAACTTTGAACAGTCACTAAACAAATTGTAAGATAAGGACTGCCTATGTATGCATAATTTTTAAAATGAGAAGTGGATATGTTGCTCTTCAACCACTTGGTTAGGCCCAGACCTGCAAATCCACTCCAATGAAGCTGGAATGGCTCCACAATTAAAAAAGAACTCTTGAGTTTCAAGCAACAATGCGTTTGTGTTTATCAATTCTAGATGTCCTCAGTTGCTGTCAGGATTCCAGCAATTGCCCTAATTAAATCATGATTCTTGAGCCAAACTTCAACCAACTTCAAAGGATTTATTAGAGGCGACATACTGGCACTGCCCTGTATGAAGCCAACTCTGGCATGCATAATTTACAGTCACCTGTGA